TTTGTAAGGAAGAGCCTCGCAGTGTCCACAGATGCATGCATGGCGACACACCAAGTTTCACTTCTATTTTTCTGTGCTCCGGATAGTAGAGAGTATATTAAGTATATTAAGTACAAAACTTATAAAGTAAGTTTAAAAAAATTTTTTTTTTTAATAAAATAATTAATAAAAAAGGTTTTTATTTCTTCAATAAAATAGAAGTCCCTATCTAGGAGTCCAAAGAAAATTTTAATTCTCCCATTCAAACTGCCACACAAACTGTGATGAAAGGATGCAGCGCTGGGAAATAAAGAACTTGCTGATCATATTAATCCTTCATCTTCCATTCAGCTTCCTACACCAGTATCCTGTTTCCTTTTTAACAGCCAACAATGCTCTTCTATTTCCTTACGCAATCCCCCATAATGCTATCATGTCAGACTTAAAAGCAACGCTTCTCAGTAACTAAATGAATTCTCTAATTTTTGTTATAGATTATAGAAGAGCTCTGACATCTATCTGTAAACAGTGACACCGTACACCCTAAAAGCCCACTCTTTGTTCATCACGAAATGGCTGGTTTGCAGAAAGCCCCCGCCTTTGGTTCAGTCAAAGTGAACCTGCTCCTGACAGCTACCAAGGGCGCAGGGACCCTGGAGCCACCTCTGAGTGCCATGGACTGTGCACAGCGATACTTTTTGCATTTCTCTTGCGTATCTTTTTATATAGCAGACAAAAAAATGATTTAGTAAGATAGCCCTTGATTACTGAAAAGTGTCAACTATTTAATAACCAAATTTTCCAAGCCAGAGAAGCTTACAGTAGGTAAACTGGTCATTTTAGACAAGAAAAGACAGTTATAGGGAAAAATTTTGCTTTGCTTCAGAAAATTCTACACTAGTGGTTTGTAGTTACTACACCGAAGGCTCCTGCACTGCACAATTCTTTAAAAAGATCCAAATCAGTGAACCAGTTGTTTTAGGTACACTGACACTTGTGAGGGTTTAAGGAACTGAAAACTAAAATAGTTCCAAGTACTTGAAGGTTTCTGTGGTAGTACTTCTGAAAAGGACGTACTAGGTCTGATTTTGCTTTCCTGAGACAAAACTCAAAAGCCCTCAGAAGGAATTTTTGTCCCAGGCAAGGTAAGCAAGACCAGTGCCATTTGTGCAGAGCTGTAGCAATGTGCCTAGTTAAATAAATAAAATTCAGGCCACCTGCATACATCAGGTCAGAGCGAGATGACCCGCACCTCTATTACTTTGCAAATAATAGGCTTATCACCAACACAATTAGTCTTACCTTATTGTAATACTGCACCTGGACGGAGTGCCACTGCCCATCACTGACCCCTCCGGGAACAAACGGTGCCACCGTAGTGGTTGTCTCCCCTGCAATGGCAGGCAGAAAGGAAAAAATCAGTCAACTTCACTGCAAACTCTGCTCTGCACTAAACCAAAACACAGAGACACCCTCATTGGGGACAGGATGCAGCCATCTTACTTCATTATGGAGGAATTTGGGTTTTCGTCCTGCGAGACAGTAAATATCCCCAGTTTCATGGAATTATTTTAGTGCACAAATACAAAAATAGCTTCTGGCACATTTGGGTGAATTACGTTATTTTTTATTATGCTTCTGCAGAGTGTGGTAGCAGATGCATTGCGTAGATACAGCTATTGCTGAAGTGGTCAACTGAGGAAAAAATGTACGTGAATTTTTCTGCATTTCTGCCAAAAGCAGCGCTTTGAGGTTTTTTTAATATGATGAGTATCGTGCCAGGATATTTTGTCTGGGAAGGGAAGCCTACTCCTCATCAGAGCTGAGAAAGTGAAATCCAAAAGTACTCTAGTATAAAATCCATGGATGGTAACCTTGGTCCCCACAAAATTTTAACAGTGATTAATGAAATTATTGGCGGCCTTTCAGTATTTAAATTTGAAAGCAAGTCCTTGCCATTGCAACTGGAAAGCTGAAGCTTTTAAGTCAGGTCTGAGTCAGCAGAACCAGCTCAGTAACCAGGCATATCTGTTCCGAGGTAGCAGCAAAATAAACATTCGTGTTGAAAGTACATAAAAGGCCTGGCACGGAGAAGGGATTGCTAGGTTTTGACTTTTTTTTTCCCCCTCTTTCTTTATTTTTTTTTAAGTTGGAAAAGTCTACATAATAAACCACAGGAAAAATAACTCCCTCCCATAAGCTAATAAAGTTCACAGTATTGTTGAGCTTAAAATGTACCTTCTACTCTCTGTTTGCAACAAATACTTTACCGCGTGTGAAGTATTATTCCCGTGTCCCCTACTCTCCTTTAACTCCTATATACTTCTGTTATTTAAACAATACAGATTTCAGCTTAGTATGTTTGACATCTTGCTGTGATGTTTTTTAACCATTTAGTGATAAAAAATCTGTGGTAAAAATTGGGCTTTTTATTCAGCCAACAAATTTTTGCAAAAGGAAGATCACTGGTCTCCAATCCTTTTGCTTTGCTTTCTGTGAAAAAGTTGTTGAGACCGGTAAAACAGTCAGATCAGATGTCCAAAACTTGTACTGTTCATTAAAAGCCACTTAAAACTATAAAACATAAACCACTCTCCTTCCAAAGAAAATACTATTTGTAATATACAGGACCAGACCTGCTCTCAGGTGCAGTAGTGCAAATCTAAATTTAGTTTCATGTATTTTAAAGGAGTTCCTCCACATTTAAATGCATATAAGTGCAAGTAGAATCTTTTTTTTCTCATTCATCCTCAGGGTGCCTTCCAAGCAATTTGATTCAAGTTTAGACAAGCGGAGTAGAGCTACAGAAGAAAGCACATCTCTCCGACTGCAGCATGTTATTTCATTACACTAATCCATTCAAAAGCCTGCCTTAAAATCTAATTTGGACAACTTCGAGGTAATAAAGGGGAAATGAAACCGGCTATCTTCAACCCAAAGGGCCCAGATATGCACTTAAGCATTGCTGCTAAATCGATGGGGTCACGTAAGATCTGCCATGGGGTCTGAGGGCAGCGACCATCACTGGTGATGAGTGTGCAACACCAATGCGTGTTGCACCTCTGCTTCTACTGCTTTACCGCTTGCAATGTCTCACTCTTCACAAAAATAAAGTAAGAGCTGACTAGCGCCCGCATATCTATCCTGAATACGGATAGTGGGAAATAACAGGATTATTTCCCGAATTACGTGCCCGGTACAGAGGTACAAACGTCTCACTTGATCCCTTGACGTACACGACAACAGCCCTTCCCAGATATTTGTTTCTGTCCCGATGGAAACCATCCCCTAAACCTGTGACAATTAGAGGTTGTCTGCCCTGCTGAGATTTAGAAAAGTCATCAAAGCCTTCCCACCGAACTCACAGACCTGCTCCTGGGCTAAAGCGGGAACGTAAGTGGTCCACCAAGAGGTCTACCAAGAGCCTCAGCAAGCCTGCTGAAGGCCAGGGGGTGATTCCTGGTGGCTTCAATGTTCTTCAACCATGCTGTACAGCTGCATGCTAACAGCTTCACCTGCTACCCCTATCATGGAAATTAGCACAGCTGCGCATGAGTTCTTGGATGAAACTTGGCCTTTTTTAACTCGGGAAATACTCTTCTGCTGGTCAGGGTTTGTTCTGATCACACTTTCATCAGGAAGAACTTTGCTACTGCCAGGGGTGATGTTCTGGAGGAAACCTCTCCTCTGGGAGAAGGCCACGGTGGCAGGGATACATGTCACTCTGAGCTTCACTTGCCTTCCCCTCTCTCTGCGCCCACAAGCACCAAAAGACACCGGCTTTCTCCTAGTGTAGAAAGCAAGCAAATGCCAAAGCCTCCGTTTCTTGTTTCCTAGCCCACCGTAGCAATGAGTGGGCAGCTTAGTTCTCCTAAATTCCTTGCGGGTTACAGCTTCTTCCAAGAGGACGTCCTTCTTCAGTGCAGCAGTGGATTCCAGCAACAGCATTGCTCCTCACCAATCCCTAACGAACGGCAGGTAGTTTTCATTTGTCTGCTAGCTTTTCCTTTGGCTTGCGCGCATTTGTTAGATAACATTTACGCACCTAGTTTCACTGATGGCGTAGTGTAAAAACGCATAAACACACGACATTTATCACAGCGTGATAAAATGAAGTCTTGTTTAAGCAAACATTGGCTCGGAGGCCAACCTTCAGGCTAGTGCCAATCTTTTATAGTAGTCATAAACTCTGGCTTTTATAACTGGTATGTTGACAAGCTCCTGCCTACGACAGTGAGTGTTACCACCACAAACCGCTACAATCTGGAGTACTTTGCAACGCCCAGCATCAGTTGTTCACTGTGCAATGTCAGCAGGTTACTCAATTAACGAGGCAGCAAAGAGCTGTATAAAATCACTGAAGTGTGTTTCCAAATGGGTTGAGAAGATCTCCTGACTGCAAGCAGAAACGCTTGACTCGAGCGACACCTCACCTGCAGAGAACGTGAGCTGGATCTGCTCCTCGATGATCTCCAAGGCAATGAAGTCGTGCTTCTCGTTAAAACGCCCGTTGTAGAGGAGGAGAGCGTTCCTCTCCCTGGTTGCAAACCTAGAACGCAGAGATGAGGGGTTAGTTCATGCTTAATGGCTTATGAATTAAAGACTGATGGTCAAGTCGCCCAGAAGAAAGACGGCATTGTATTTAGCAGAAAAGCAAGCCTTTGAATCTTTCTTCAGACCAAAAATTATAAAATTGAGGAGTCAGCCGCAGGATAAATCTATTCTTTCCCAATCGACAGAGGCAAGCAAGATGGAAATCACAGAAATCTACTCTGCAGAGATCTGCTGCAGATGCTCACGCTCACAAAGGGTAAAATTAGGCAGACGCACAATGCAGCGTGAGTATCTGACACTCGCCAAACAGTAGCACTTACTACACTTTGCAAACAGTCCGAAAGCTAGAAAGCATTTTCACATCAAAGGGGGAATACTTGCTGCCTGCTTGCTGTCTAAATGCTACAGGGTACAAGGAGAGCCATCAACTGATTAAAAAGACCTGATGGGGAGGCAAGGGGGAAAAAAAGATAAGAGTTACTTTAATAATGCTATGTAGACAATCAGGGTTCATCAATCAACAGGTCAGTCAACTGGAGGAAGGAAAATAAACACTTAAATGATTCCACTAAATCAGTGCCAATGGGTGTTTTTTAGTTTTATTTTTCTTGTGCTTCTAGTATGGGATGTATCACACCCTTCCTGCAGAAAAAGAGGCGACCCCACTTTTAAAAAAGCCTGGGTTTTTTTGTCAGCACAGAACTTTTTTTGCAAATTTCTGCATGTTGTGTGTATTTTATCATTTGTAATTGAATCCTATTATCTTTGGGGATTTACACACAGCTTTCATCTACTTAGAAATGCAAAAAAATTATTACACTTTACATAAACATTTTTACAAAGATTAATATTATATAAAAAGAGAGAGAAACCATGGGAATTTCTTGTGTTTCCAAATGGCAGTGTAGTTTCATTTTGTATCTTAAACTTCAGGAAATATGCCTGATTTAAATTAACCCACTTTTCCTGCAAATGAATCAAATGCTGAACACAACTAATGAAAACTGCCTTCCACGGACAGAAGAAATGATTCATGTGCTTGTCATGTCACATCTACTGGCAAGACTCTCATGTGATGCAACAAAACCTACATTCAGAGAATGTGAAAGAAGCAGTATTTTAGAACATCAAGGTCTGGTATTTGAAATAAAATATTTCAAGCCCAAAGAATATATTTTAACAAAAGTTGTTTGTCAGATATACACATGGATCACACCAAGTAGAGACCTTTCAGAACCAGGAGCCTGAATTTGAGCTCCATGGAAATAGGAATTTTTATTCCATACATTTTTTAATATTTTTGAAGGAGAATTAATTGTTCTGGTTCAAAAAAAAAGAAGTCAAAATTTTGACATTTCCAATAAAATACAAACTCCAAAGAATATCTGTTATAATCCATCAAAATATTATACTACTGATTTTATTCCTTTTAATCAGTTTTGAAATATATCTTTATTTCTAAATTTATTTAACATAATATAAAATAATATTATAGAAGTAAAAGGCAA